TGACTTACAGGAAAAAGTGATTAACGAGCTCGAATAGGAATCGAAATGTTTTTCACAAGATTGCTAGATTGTGAACAATTTTTGGCAGCCATAAGACGGACTCGAACCCGCACCTCTTGCTTATCGGGCAATACGGCTACAAGTTACGCTACCGAGGCATCATTAATCAAAAACAAAAACAAATGCAAATAGTGATCTGAGCCGACAAAGGCGCATTTTGCCAGTGAGCTAGACACACAGCTAAAAGCCCACTTACGCGACTCTGCACTTTTTGCCCTTTCTACTAGTGAGACCAGGTGTTAGTGAGTGAATAAATCACGTCGAAACCGCAGAGAACGGGCACATAAACCGTGCAAATCGTTCTTGTACGGGGAACTGACGCCCCAACGGGAGTAAAGGGAAAATGGGGCCGTATGGCCGGGACAAGACCAATCTACGCACAGTTCTACTCAGTTTTTCCCAAGAAACCCCGAATTACTGCAATTCTGGGAGATCAGTGGTTACGGTAGGCGCCCACGAAGAGAAACGGAACGGCGGAAAGAATCACATGCAAGATCGGCCTGAGCAGATGCGACTTCAATTAGCGAAATAATTCACACACATAGGTGATCTTTGTCATACGGTGTGAAAAACACAAGGTCAGACGGTGTTGAACTCAGAGATCACTGGAAAAGCCTGACAAGTCAGCCAGAGAACCCCTCGTAAAGGTGCAAAACTTGCGCACCGTAGCTGTGCTCAGTGAAATCAGCGAATGAAAGCCGAATATGTGGTATAATAAATCCACAAGACTACGGTACCGTTGCAGTACCGTAACCACAGGGCACGCGAATGACGAAGATCGACCGATCGCCGTGGCGCTTATATACGACGACTGGCGCTACAGCACGCCTCCCCGTGCTGAAGCAACCATCGGGGGGCGGGTCGACGGTGGTGAGACGCAGACACGTCGGGGAACGAGATGTGCGGACGGAAAAGGCACTCGGCGATTTACGAAATGTGATGCAATGATGCAAAACGTGAGCGGCGATCAAGGAGAACAAGACAGTACTGGGATGAAGGAGATGACAAAGAAGCAGAGAGATAGCGTGGAAAATGCTGGAAAAGGCTTGTGATTCTCTGACCGGCACATGCGACTTTTGATAAGGCCTATCACTGATGACTCTGCCAAGAAGCGAAAGTTGATAACGTATCAGTGCGCTGAACCTATTGACCAGGTTTCGTTAACCCTTCACGCACTGGACGCGTCAGATTTATGACTTCAATAAAAGTGCATGATGTAATTTTCAAACTATGACACTTATCTTATGCAAAGGCAAGGTCTTTCGCGATAGCAAGGTCCCGGACCAAGTCTGAGAACCGAACGAGTCTGCCTGGGCTGACCTGAGTGTTACCAACAAGAAAATGCTGGGCTATCTAGACCAAGTGGCTGTTCACATTTGGGTTTTCACGACTTGACTGTATCACTGGCAACCGAACTTTGACTCTACGCACCCCAATTGACGGGGTAGAGCTAGAGAGAACAATCGATATACCGACGCAAGTGGTCCCTAAATAGTATTTGTTTGAAGTCGTAGAGCATTGCACGGAGAGACCCGCCACGGGCACATGGGGAAAATGACTGGGAAGGTTTTCGATTTGTCTGTGCTCGGAGGCCTAGAATATTTCATCATCGTTGTCTTTTGGTTCCCAAATCAGGGCGCAGCGCTCAAATAGAAACCCCGCTTCCTCTAATCGAGTGAAAGAGTTCAAGGGAACCTTCCCCCCCCCCCCCTATATCAATGACTTTGTGCTTCCTCTGAACATCCTTCTCCAAATTGAGCTAATTATTAGGCTCTTAGGAGAGTCCAATATCAAACGGGGAGGATTATTAAAAGCTCCGGGCCTTAAAATTGTATCATCCGAAGATTACGGTCATCTAAAATAGAACATGGCCTTACGGCGCTCATGTCGTTAGGGGGGGGGGAGATTCCAGAGGTTGAGCCACTTACAAAGCCTTGGATTAAGCTTCAGAAAGAGGAAGTGATTTTGGGAGAGATCATTTCAGCAATTTTTGTTCTCCGTGGCGTTCTTCTTTGGGCGTGGTCCTATTGTCACCCACCAATGGTTTTTGATTGCCCTGTTTTGACTACCGCCCCCCCCCAAGGGCCATGAACTGCTGAGCGTTAACGATTAGATTCTAAAGGTCCTATGCTGTAGAAGTGCTTTGATGATAGAAAACGCAACATGACATAGGAAGAAAGGAGATGGTGAGACTAGTACTCCTATGGAAACTGCTGGGCCATTGATGGCGGCCTTTATGGTTGCTACCGGTTTCCAGGCTCAGTGGATGTCCTTTGATGGTCTCATGCCCGTCTTTCCTGTCCCAGGTTTACGTTTACAGCTCTATGCAGAGCAGAACGCTTTTCCTATCCCCCCCACCTCCTCCGCCGCTCCCCTCTAGTTACAGCACTCCTTCAAGGGGATCTTCATCAGCCGCGCTTTCTCGCAAAATTCTTGGATATTTTCCATAATTTCCAAAAAGCTACGTCAACAGCGAGCTTGCTGAGACGGCTATCAGGCAGAGGTGGGGGGGAGGCAGGGGAATCATGAAGAAATGAATTAGACGCTAACAGTTTTTCTGCACAGACATCAGCCACACCCGGTCTCACTGAGTAGGAAAAGTGCAAGGTCGGGGATAATTAGGTCTTCGGCGATACCTGCCACTGATAATTAATTTCATTGAGTTTTTTGTTGAATCACTTCTTGATAGATTGTAGTTCCACCTTCGTTTTTCACTACGCCCGCAGAGCTATGAAGTTGAATCAAGCGAATTCCAGTACAGATACAGTCGGCTATAAAAAAGGCTAAAATGTGAATAATTCGACGATCAGTCCCTTTCGAAATGCGCCACATACTCTACTCTCCATTCATAATCGTAATAGCGCTCTGGATTCAGCTTGGTCTATACAATTACTTGAGGTCAGCCGATCTATACAATGACTTGAGGCCAGCCGATGTACACTTCAGCGATTTTAAACCTCACAGGTCAGTTATCCTGTAACCAACCCAAGGGAAGGTCAACAGTTCACTTGACCCCTACGGTGTATGGTTCAGAATTTGATCCCCAGGTCGTATAGGTGATGTGCCGCTCCACTCGCCACCACAATTCTGTGCTATATTGACTACAGATAAGAAAAGATTGCAGCCAAAATGTAGCGCGAATGTGTCGTATACCTGTAACAGGGCAAAAGTGTAGTGGCAAGTGGCACGCTTACCACGCGAGCGGTCCGGGGATCAAATCCTGGGTCGTGAGTCGTCCGGGCCAACCAAGCCTTCCATCCCTCCGGGGTCGGTTAATTGGTACCAGACTTGTCTGGGAGGATAAAAACACTGACTTGTACATCGGCTGGCCCCGCAAGTCATTGTATAGGCCACATCGCATTCAAACGCCACTACGAATGTACAAATGGAAGTAGAATGCGTGCCGCATCCCAAAAAGGGATTGATCAACGGCAAATGCTTTATCCTTTTTATTTTTGGAACCGATCTGGTTCCCATATGAGGCCGGTAAGTACTCTTTCTTGGTTAAATTTCCTGAGCATTGAGTAAAATGATGACGCAGCGGTAAGAGGCGCCGAACATTTTTCCCACATTCTCGGAGTTCAGTTCCGAAATGGATCACGCTGACTCCTATGAATTCTTCCATCCCTTCAAGGTCGGTCATTATGTCACCAAATTCACCCTGAAGTACAGCATCACGGATTTAAACATCGGCTACCCTAGGAAGGTTCTTATTGTATAGACCTTATAGATCCTAAATGTAATATTCGAAAACTCTGAAAGGAGTAGAATGCGTGGCGCATACCGAAAAGGACTGATTAAATTGGTACCTGAATCTCTCAGAGGTTATGAACATTTATTTAAATAAATATAACCCCACGATGACTAAACTGTGAAGAGATAGCCGAGCAAACAGAGAGAATAAAGAATAGCCGTAAACGTATAGTGATAAATTACCAGGAAAAAAATTGAGATTGGAAGAGCTCCGTTAAGTTTTCTAAATTATCCCGGGTATACCTGCACTTACGCGAAGATGAAATGAATGCGACCGATTCAATGGTGTCCTCTGCTACCGAAAACCTGATGCGCGTCGAGTGCAGACCACACACCAGAAACGACGCTCACTCCCTGGCCGTCTGACTCTAGCCTTTTACTAGAGAGACCCGTCAGCGATTAAGAGGGTAGCACTGAGACGTGCATGATAGCGAAATCAGTCTCGAACTCTAGACGTTTCCCAAAGATTTTTCTTCATATCGGCACCACTGACCGCCTCTGCCTAAAGACAAAAGTCGGGCTCAATAAGGGGGTATTATGGCGATTGAAACTGAGTATAGAGATGCGAAGTAGAACGACAGTGGAGAAAAAACTGAGAAAAACCGTCGACAAGGGTTAACAAAACCCTCTTTCCCACTAGCAGTGAAGGAGGCTGGCTTGGGAAAGAGGCACGTACAAACAAGTTTTCTGGAGATGTCAGTCGTTCTATCGGTTGATACGGCAATCAACCTAGCTGATTTCACACGTTATGCCAGCCACGCACCACTTCCGGAGGTGGGCGGTCGGAGCGCCGCCAGGCGGCGAAAGCGCTTAATACGTGCCCTGGAGCCTTATTACGGCGCCGTTTGGGATTCTGAGCATGGTAACGTCTCTGTGGGTGCGCAGCCATGCACAAAGACGACAAAAGGGATTGGTTTGGTCCATCAAGCCTGACTCGTGCCTTTAAGCCAATAGGCTGCCTTCTGATTGTACACTC